ACTGGACACAGATTATTGTATTCAGCGCAGTAATCTCTACAGCTTTGTGCTATCTTACGCAAGCATGGACGTGTCCATACATATTTTAGGTACTAAAATATTTGCTTATTGCTTGACTTAACTAGCCCCACTCTAGCTCCACAAAGAAAATTGGTTATCTACAATTAGCTAATTGATTAAAAATATCGACAAATTCTAGGTGGGGTGAAAAGTAACCTCCTTGGGAATGAAAAAAATTTTTTTCTTATGCAGAATCTCGCCCAAAATATGGCGTGTTCGCTCAGTACTAATCTTTGTAGCATCTGCTAGCTCGCGCACCTTCACTTTCCGGTCAGCCAACACCATTTCATGTATTTTTTTGACATTTTCCTCGGTAACTGCACCGGAGGGCCTGCCGCTGCGGACTTCATCGGTAGTGGAGTTGCGGCCACCACGAAACTCTCGAAACCAATATTTGACGGTGTAATCTGACGGAGTATTAGCCACATAATATTTATCCAACTTTTCTTTTGTTTCCTTCGCCGTTTTGCCTCTCAAAAAATAATGTTTTATGAGAGAACGAAAATCGTTTTCGCAAACACGTCAACAACAATCAGCTCTCAAAACAAAACTAAGGGCAGTATCGCACTGCCACTTGGCATGTCTGCCTAAATATGAACGGACTACAAGGCACCATAAACTTTTTTGCAGTAGTGGCGCATTCTGGCGGTCAAGGAGGTTACTTTTCACCCCATCTAGTACATTTTTAAATTAGAATACATACAATTCAATAATATTGAAATTAAATTTATTATAATTTTTTTTATGTCAAGGAATTTAGATTATCATTCGTCTATATCTTTATTTCTGCTACTAATAGGAATTAATGATTTTTTTGTTATCTGCATCATATTATTATTGTCAGTAAGAAGTGGTAGGCAATGAAAAGAAAAAAGGTGTGTGCTCTTAATATCGACAAAGATGTGTGTTTTACGAACTTAGTGCTACTTACACTTATTTTCGAGTTTTGGATAATATTAATTATTAACAAGCACATACATATGTATGTGCACGTAGATACATGTGTCGATACACATGTACATTTTTTCAAAGATAATTCGATGTTAGTTGATCGAATTATCCAACCAAACGACCGGTAGATTCATGGTGAGGTCTGCGAAACCCTACTGCACAAGGGGGAACTTTTATTATTCTTTTTTGACCGCATTCTCTGTCTATCTCTATCCATTTCATTTCTCGTCGTTCTCTCTCTCTCCCCTCCCCTTTCCTCTCTCCTCCCCTCCCTTCCTTTCCTCTCGTTCGCACTCTCTTGTGATACAGTCCCCTTGATAAACGTCAGGCTTCTAAACAGGCTTAGGCATGGGCGTACGTTATCAAGAGACTCGATCTTGGACATCTAAAAAGTATCCGCGTCACCATGGCGCGGATACTTTTTAGATGATCCAATATAACGTGATGATATTGTTGATATATAAAAATACAACATATAGAAAGGCGGAAAAATAAATTCACCCGATAATTTGAATTATTCTGTACGAAGATTTCTCACTTGCGTATGTACATTGAAAAAAATGTTTTTATTATATCAACAAGATATATGTGATAAAATGCATTTTAGTGAAACTAGGCAGAATTTCTGATTATCATAGTAGAATTCGATATTTTATAACTAGAACTGGAACGTTCTTAGATAGACTAAATATCAAACGTTTCAAATATATTAACTATAAGAATTTGGTTAATATTTTCCAATTAGATCTGAAATAACTTCTACAGGGTGGGCCATCTATTGGTACGTTTTTGAATTTCGTCGTATGGCAACACCGAACGAGCTACAGACCCGAAATTTTGACAGTTTATTAGTCATACCGTCCGCGGCACGAAACAACATGTTTTCTCTTGAAGAGCGTTTTGAAATTTTAAAAACTTATTTTCAAAGTCAGTGCTGTGTCGCCGAAACTGTACGAATTTTGAAAAGAAATATGGGTCGTGATAGAGCACCCACCGAAGGAGCTATACGCAAATTGGTGAGGAAAGTTCGTGAGAAAGGGATGTTAGTGGATGACAGAAGTGGTCCCAGAGCTCGGACAGTGCGCACACCCGAGAATATTGAGGCTGTGACCCAAAGTGTGAGACAGAATCCGACGACTTCAACTCGACGCCGAGGTAGTCCAAAATGTCATTAATAATTGGGGTGACCGAATGGCATACTGTAAGGCCAGTAGAGGGAGCCACATGAACGAAATCGTTTTTCATTCTTGACGCGGATACTTTTAGCTTCACAACAAAAAAAAAATTAATAAAAAATATCAATGTATGCTCATTTGATCGCATTTTTAAAAACGTACCAATAGATGGCCCACCCTGTAGTTATATTTATACTATATATTCTCCATATGCAATACGCGGCACTATCAATCAAAATCAACGCAGCGAAGTTCTATTTTCTATAAGTAAAAAAACCAAAATAGATTGCAAAGCGCAGATTAAAATTAAAATTTTTCATCGATATTCTAATAAAATGGATCCTTGAAATTCAGTTATGCCAAAATTGAGATGCAGCTCCCTCGGAAAGAAGATGGAAGGGATACTCACACAAAAAGGGGTTAAATCCGTGTATTGGTCCCATGCTGAATGCCTGCTCTTTATGAGTTCCTTTCATCTTCTTTTCGACAGGTCCACGTTTCAATTCTGGCATCACAACCCTGAATCTTTAAAATTGAGTTTCAAGATAAAAGTAATTAATGTTTTTGATATTACGGTTTTCAGTTGTGTATAAAAATTAATTTAGAAACCTGTAATAATTCCTGGAAGTTATATATATTAATGGCACGTAAAATATTATCAGAAATATCAAATTTGTCTTCTATAGTATAGAAATTATTGTAGGGATTGACTGAAAAATTAAGGAGGTTGTAAGAGCATAAAACATATATATTAATATTTACGCTTTAAATAAACTACATATGTATAAAAGTTGTTTTCATAACATTCTGTTTTTATTGTACAATATATTTTTAAAGATTATTTATTTTATTTATTAGTATTTTTATAATTATAAACAATTTTTAAAATGATAACAAAAATCTGATTTTTTTTTGTATAAGTACTTTAAGTATTAAAAATAACTTATGCAAAGTTTGATTGAGATTCACCAGTTAGTTTATAACAAATAAATATTTTGTTTATTTATAGATCAATTAATGTCTGTATCTTAATCTAACTTTACATAAATATTCTTGAATTCATAAAGTACTTGTAATTTTTATCATTATTTTATAATACAATTCTATATATTTCTATTGGAGCGCAAAAAAAACATTACTTTTAATACAATCAAATTTTTTTCTACTGTAGCTTGAAAAATTACATCGATATCGTTTATGGAATGTTTATGAAATGATTCTACAGCATGTTGTAAATCCTTATTAAGTTACAGATCTAGTTATGCTATGTCGTGCATTATTTCTATGATACGAAATTACGCTACGAAATTACCAATTTCTCTTCTACTTTTGAGACACAAAATTGCGAATTACTTCACAAATTATTATATATACACATGATCCTTTAATCAGAATATCCAGCAATCCTTAAATATCCTTGAATTCTGGAATTATCCTGGAATTTAATGTATCCTAGAAAACTCTTGGGAACCCCCTGAAATTTCAGGGGGACTGATCTGAAATTTTTGTCATTCTTTATGCTATTTATGCAAATGGTAAAGATAAAAGTAACTTTGAGATTACGAAATCTATTTAATGAAGCTGCAATGAATTAATAATTTTATAATATGATATTTGATGTTTGAATCTTAATCAATCAATAAAAATTAATAAAGTAATGGAAACATTAATTGACCTGAACAAATAAGGGTTTTTATTTGAAATGTCTTGGAATTATTCTTGAATTGATTAACCACATCGCTAGTTAATGATCGGCATCGGCATACGAGAGCTGCTCTGAATTACGTAGTTCGACAGTGATATTCGGCGAGTATGGCGAGAACTGACGAAGTGAATATCCCCTGACAATTCGGGGAACTTGCAGCCGCCATTGTACGTTACACTTTAGATAACTGTTGCTAACGCAACAATGAGATAAGTGAGTAAATTATGCCCTTTGTTATACAGTAATGTTCAATGAAAGTTTATGTACATATACATATACATGTATAGATCTGATATGCAGCACATATATATGTATGTATAATATATACATGTGTGTGTGTGTGTGTGTGTGTGTGTCTATATAATGCTAGATTATATATGCATATGATATAGATATAGTTTGTTGATTCTTATTATAGTATCATTGTTGATCGGCATAATTTCGGAGCAATCATATTTTTAAAAACACAACGCAATTTATCATATGTTTTTTTTCATATAATTATCATCATTATTATTATTTCTAAAATCCAACTTGAACATTTTAAATTAATCGATATCGCGAAAATCACATGAATATCAAAATTCTTTAAAAATAATATTACAGAATCACGATATTTTTCGCAAGAAATCAGAATAGCTTTCTTCCTTCGTTCCTTCTTCCGGCATTTTTTCAAAAATCAGATTGGCATAACCAGTATCCGATGTTGTAAAAAATAAAAATTATAAAAAAAAAATCCCCGGAAATCCATCGAGGAACAACGATGAGGCCCTACGCCAATGGCGCACTGCATCAGTCTTCACACCACCAGGTCCCACACGTATCCCCACATGACTATAGTCGCCGCTTTCCCCTTACTTCTCCCTGTCTCGCCTACCTTCTCCCCCCTCACCCACCGCTCGATACATGTGAGGCATTCGCGGCTTCAGAGTTCAGTCGTCGTTGGGACGTCGCTGAGGTCGCTCTCTGATCGGTCTGGCAACTTCGGTGCGTTTATTACGTGCGTGCGCGCGCGCGTACATACACGCACATACATTTTATATATATATATATATATACATACATTTTATATATATATATATATATATATTTACGCATACATACGTGACGCGCACGCGTCACGCATAATTTATGTTATGCACGCGTGCACGCTGCTCGCTACGTAGCGAGGAACGAGAAACGGCCGAGTGCTGGTGACACGAGACGGATAAGTTCCGGTGAGAGAATACGACGAAGACGACGACAACGAACGCTGTGTGCTCCGCTTCATGATGTTACGGTAGTGTATGTGCGGGGAATATCAGTGCAATATCTTTTTCGTTCCATTTTTTTCCCCCCCTTTCCTTCGCGTTTGTTCGCTGTGCGTGCGTCGTGTGCCGTGTCGTGTGCGTCGCGGAAGTTAACACGACGAAGCTTGACGCACTTTTTTTCCAAATCCCCGCGAGGCCGACGAAATTCTCGCGGATCACCAGCGGCGTGATGCCCGCTTCGTCGTTATTGACCTTGTCGTATTATGTCGAGGTGGTACCGTGAACATCGGTGCCGGGAGGAGCGCCTTTGACCCCGTCAGTCCCGAGAACATATTGAAAGTTGTCAGTCCGCGCCTTTGGTAGCCTTCTCTCGCGAGCCACTCCCCTCGAGATAAATCTTCGAAATTTTAACTTGCGGACGTTTAGACAGTAAGTAGTTCCTGGTTACGCTTTATTTCTGGATATGATTTCTCCGCGGAAACGATCGGGGTTAGGTTGAGTTCGGATTAGACACGGATGGCGTCTACGACGCGATTTTCGTGTTCACGAAAATAGTTCGATTTTTCTTTGAAATTCGTTGGATTCGTAAATCTACAAAGTCTAATCATGATTTTTTTTCAACTGTTTGAATTTTTTTAATACATTTATTTATTTTTACTTCCCGCGTTTATATTCAAAATCCATGTTTTTTTGATTAATTCGACCAGACTATTGAGCGAGATAATTAAATTTTTGTAAATGCGCGCAAGAAACGAAAGTAAAATGAAAGTACTTGAATCCATTATAACGTGTACAACTATTTATGTACTTCGCGCTTTAGTGTACCTTCAGATTATGGAATCCGTTGATTACGTACAAATAGAGAACCGCATGAAATATCCGCGTAATTAACGAGCTGGGCTTTTTCGAAGAGTTTGGAAAAATCGTGCGACAGCGAGCCAAGAGGAGAATCAAGCTGCACCGAATATCGAGAAGCGTCGGTGATAAACCTGCCGGATACGTCGCGCATCGAGATATGGATTGGTCTTTCAAACGCCGAACGTAAGTTCCTGCTAGAAAGTGAAATCGAATTTCGAAAATTCTCCCGCGTCGCTAGTCTATAGATATAGACCGATAAATCGATCGATTGATCTATCGATCCATCCATCCATTCATCCATCCATCCATCCATCCATAGATCGCTCGAAAGATTAATTTTGAGAGTTCTCCAGCATAAAACATAAATTGACACAAGTCATTCTGTACTTGTTCAATAAGCAGTAAGAAACAAAAACGGAACGATTCTTGCCTCTGTTGAAAAGTTCCCATTGTAAGGCCAATATTACATGCGTCCGCATGACAATTTTTTCAAGCTGTCGATTGGCTGTAGAAAGGCAAAAATCCGAGATCTTCTCTGTCGTGCAGCCAATTGACATGCTTGAAAAATTCGTACGGAAAACGGACGCATATTCTTAGCCAGAGGCAACAAGGGATTTGTCCTAAAAGACGGTAGAGGGAAAAACAGATACAGAATATAGAATTGTTCACAGCTCTTATCACGGTGAAATTGCGTTTTATTAAACTTAGTTTTTTTTTTCGAGACGACAATGAGACGCAGTGCCGAGTGACCAGAAAGAAGTAATCTGATCTTGTAAAAAAAAATGAAGATGCGAAAAAGTAGCAGACTTAACAGTAATCTGATGCATCTTGTGCGTGCGGAAAGAATTGTCGATTTGTTTATCATAGTGGGAGAAATCAACGCTTATCAATAATTCTCAGTTCGCCATTCGTACGAAATAGTGAATAATGTTCGCTATTTGTATGAAACAATTCGTGAATAATGTGAACAGGCAATTTCATCGAATTCATATTCGTTGTTTATCATCCGTGTCAATTCAGTGTGGTGATTTTTTTTTTTTTTTTTATGAAATCGAAAAGTGCAAATCAGTCAGTTCGTGTTGGTTCATATATAGAGCAATATAATGATTTTACAAACAATGATCAAGGAATTAATAGTGTTGAAAGTCCGTATTGATAATTATATGACAATGCATTACTGCGAATTTACTATGAATCGCGAATTACAAATCGTGAATCGCTTATCCCGCATCCGGACATATAATGTTCGCGAAATTTAGTCACATGTGCATGCGTATTTGAGGTTGGTGCTGCGGGTCGAATCGACGTTTGCTCGTTGTTTGCTAATCGAAATAATGTCCCCGGGCGCGCAGCACGTCGTCGATAGATCGTGGGAATCGACAGAGACGATGAGATCAGCACGAATTCGTGGCGCGCTATTAAGTTCTCGCAGCGTTCTGAAATTTTCATAAGCCCGTCAATTGACGTAGTTTAAAGCACGCGTCAAAGTACGAAACGCTTATAATATCCGCGATGTCCAATTTTTTCGACGCGCTACAGACACGGGAATATATTTTAAAAGAATTAGCATGTCAGTGATTAGTACGTGATCGCTTCATTTACTTTTAACATCAAAATTCACTGTCATTACACATCAGATTTCAATTCTCGCTTTGAAGTTTCCAAAATTGTACGTATGACGCATGTTGCGGATCATCGTCGAGGATGAGCGTGGGATACATCGTGTTCTATGTGCGAAATTCGTGTCGCCAAAATTTCCATGAAGCTTTTTATCCTCGCCGCCAATTTTATATAAGTATAGACGCGCTCCGTGAATTCGATCAGCGACGAAAGATTTTTTTATCGAGCAACGCTGAAACTTTGGGGATACTCTTTTTTTTTCTTCTGCAGCTTTTGGCAATTGCCACGAATATTTCGTCACGCATATGATAAGTAAAAACATGACGAAGCGCGGACGAGCTTTTGCCCCTGCGGAAGTCTTCGTATTACAATGAAGCGTCGAACAATGACTGTGATACGATTACTCTGACACAAAGAGTTTCTACCAGTGGTTGAATATTTTCCACATTCTCTCGAGATTGGCAACTTAAATGTAATAATGTGTGAACGTTAAATGTATAAATTATGCGGTTATGAAAATTCATGGCGTTGTTATTTAATAAATTAAAACTTTTTTCGTAATGTACAGGATTATTATAATTATGAATTAAAAAATATGAATGACGCGAAAAATTCGCTTTCCATGATGAATAATTTGAAGAAATTTTTTTAAAAAAGTTTTAAAAGTGATGTTAAAAGTAACGTATGATAGAATTTCATCGTGAAAGCAATAACTGTCTGTAATAACGAACAAATAATATTTAACGTCTACAGTTCTATTAGAAATATAATATCCTTTTTATTATATTTCAAGTAGAATTTAATCCTAATAAACCATGGACTTTTGCGATTTTTTTACATTGTTATTTTACATTTCTTTGAAGTATCGCAATTAATTAAAAATAAAATTATTATTTGATTCATATTTTTCTTTGTATGATATATTTCTTTGTGTTGGTATAAGTAGGTTGGTATAAGTAGTTTTTGTCTGACTTCGAGGTATAAATTTCACACGTTTTGAGCTAAAAAATACGTATTCAGTCCAGAGATATAGCGTGACAAAGTTGCAAGATTTCACACCCTGGTATGTGACCAAAAATACCAATGGCTCACTAGAGTTAAAGTATGAAAACTTATACTGTATAATTAACAGACTGTGCACGATAGAAAATCCATCATCCGAAGGTTTTTCGAAGACTTCCATTCCAGCTCTTGCTTTAGTAAAAAATGTTCCGTTCGCTTAATGCGACAATCTCTCAAGTAAATCTTGAAATTTGACATTACTTGGATACAATATTTTGAAAATTAAAAATCCTGCAAATCTATGAACTACGCGATAAAGGCAAAGTTTAAAATCATTATAATTATAAAGAGTTGATATTTCCTATTCTTCACGAGCATACTACTCCATAAGCGCGGATTATCTCGGTCGAGAGCTCAGGCAGAAGCATACAGGCTGGCCTTTCTCTCATTCATTATTCGTGCCGATTCCTTGCGTTTACTCGAAGTTATGACCACGCTGTCGGTTGCATAATGACTCGTAAGCCAACAATGTTGTCGCGTAATCAAATGGCGCAGACGTTTGTTCTCGCTGCGAATAGGACTGCGCATTGTTTCTCCGTTAACAATTTCTGCAAAATGGAAAAAAAGAAATTGCATAGTTGCAGATGGTGTTCACTACCCATGATTTCTGTTTCAAGTTAAATATTTTAAAAGCATATGAACGATCCTGAAAATAATATAAAATCTAGAAAATTGTGTGTACGTATATCTCAGTATAATAAATTCAAAGAGGAAAGACTAAAACTACATAGTTTAATATTAGTGTTAATAGCAATCATAAAATATGATATATAAACTAATAATAATAATATGACTACATTGATAGTGCAGTGATGATGATTATAAAATTTGATACGTAAATCGGAGTAATACTAGAACTACACGTTGGCGTTTATAATAACATTTTATACGATACTAGCTAAAATAGGATGAGAGAGGAATGAAATTAAAGAAGCTAATTACTGATGTATAATGTTTGATAACATAACAATCATGGGCAAGCATTAACGTCAGGTGAACCGGTAGATTGCAAACATGGCGAACAAATCGCATGGTTGATTTCGTGCGTGTGTAGGTCGGGATAACAACGCGCTCTAAATATATTTCGCGTAAGATGGATATGTGCTGTTACGTATTCAAGCAAAATCATGACGTGCGTCAGCTGACTAATCCAGCCGACGCATACATAACATAGGCATAAATACTGTAAATTGAATTAACGTGAATATTGAGTATTCGATATTACATATGAGATTAATTTCCCTGAAACTTCTCCGATACGCGAATATAATCGATAAACATAATTAAATGTATACGCAACACATGTGACTTTATACCAAATTATTATTCACTTCTTAAGCATATTAAAAAAACTGCAGTATATATATTTAAAAAATGTAATATGTCTTCTTGAATATTTACAACGAATTTATGAAATTCAAATGTTATTATTTTATTATTTTATTAACTCCATGTGATCTTTATTATTATGAGAACATGAATATATTTTTATACTGAGATGGCATTTCGGAAATTTAAAAGTACTTTTAGAAAAATCTTTAAGGAATTGAGATCACATCTGATCAGAATATAATGATCGAATGTATAATACTACATAGTTTGAGAGAACAATTTTTTAATGTTTATCGCTAGATTTATGTATGGGATTAGAATTAATCGTGTGGAAAACAACGCGACGCGAAAGCGCGCGTCATTTTTAGCATTATCGCGGTATTCTCTTAACGAACTCGGCGCTAAATCAACGTGGAACATGCCGTAAATCTATGCGGGCAAACTAGTTAGGCAATATACGGAGATTCCACGTGGATTTACGAGCGACGGTCGTCGATATGAGCAAAAAGAAGAGAAGTGGTTCGCACGAGGGCGGTCTGCTCTTTGCGGTTAAAGATTTTCGGCGGTCCGCCAGGAAGGCGGGTAAGGGAAGCAGACGAGAAAATCGATGAGTCGACCGGGACGAGATGCGATAAATTTTCGTTGGCATTACCGACTGCAAGAAAGTCGCCGAAGAAGCTTTTCGAAGGGAACGACCGGTTGCCCGACGAAGCACACAAAAGGGTCAAGCTGCGAAGAGGTAGTGTAGAGGAGAAAGAGGAAGAGTAAAAGGGAGAGAAGAGGTCGTTCGATCGAGGAGTAATGAGAGCTTACTGGGTGTAATGACCTCCACCTTGGGTCAGCGCCGTGGCGAGTGAATTGTGGACCCTTTGGGACGCTCGATGCATTCACATCATTTATTCGGTCATTGTTGATTTCAAGAATAAGGGATTAAGATCAGAATATCAGTAATTCGGAGATTAAAAGTTGCCAGAGTATTTTCTAAACGAGATCTACTTGTATTTAATTACAGATCTTAAGACAGATCTGTTTCATTTATTACAGATCTTAAGACAGATCTTCGATTGCCAAACAATATCGAATGTTTGAATGCGTTCACTTATTGACTAGATATAAATTTATTTATTTGACATAAATCACAATTTATGATTTTTGCGCGGAAATATATCTTTATTAATAATTAATTAAACATTATCTATATGCACACATTTATATGTTTGTACTTAACTGTGGTTTGAAACTAAAACTGAAAACATTTTACAACTGTTATTCGAAATAATCGTCAGACCATAAACTTTAAATGTAAACATATTTCAAATATCATTAATGTATCTATTAGCAATTTTCTGACGATTACATCGCTTGAGATTTAATTTTGTCAAAAGGTTTAATAATATCGTTTGAAATGATTTTAATGAAAGAATATTTAATTTAATATGAATATGACACGTTCACGTCAAAAACTTAAACAAACGTTTAACATTCATTAAATTTTTCTCTGTCAATTATCAACATCAAATTTTGGTAGAAAGTAATATTCGGACGTAATATTTCTAACAAAGGAATATCCAGAAAGCGTTCGCTTGAATCATATTGAACGACACTTTATATTTGGCTACGCCATTTTCGGAATATGATAACGTAAAAACGTTATTTGGTGAGAACTGGTTTTCGAGGTGACAATCAGTATAATTTTACTGATGATGAATGTGAAAAATACTGACATAATGTTTAAGGAATTTATTTTTTACTTAAAAATTAAAAATTAAGGTTTAGGTTAATAAAATAAACGATTAAAACTTTTGTATGTAATACAAACTTTTAACTTTTAACTTTTACTGTACTTTTGTATATAATATCCATAATTTAAATGAAAATTAAATAACAATTTTCATTTATTTCTGTGTTCGATCAAGAATTATTAAAGGGCAAAATTTTCAGAGTATTGAGAATAAGTGATAATTCGTTTTTGCACATTAATAATATTCTAAAAGTAAATATTTTATAATTGCAAATACGAAATTGCTTTCAATTTGCGTTTGCACTGCATGAACATCGAGATTATTTCTGTCCCAAAAATAACACGTAATTGGAATAATAATTCACCAGAAAAGGCTATTCATGAGAAAATGTTACATGCATCTAAATTTTCATTAAAGACAAATTGACTCCACGACAGTAAACGATTCATGAAAGCATCAACCATACTTCTGGCATACCATATATAGTCCAACAGCATGTATTACACCACGTGTCGAGTATGGCCTGTCTTTGGTAATGGAACACCCGATGAAAGAAAGACACCCTCGTTTCCTTTTCGGCATTGCACGCTTCTCTGACAGATGCCCAGATTGGTATCCATAAACTCAGAAAACAGCGAACTACAAACAGTCAAGTGCATTCACCTTTTTAACGAACCTTTTTTATCAACCGATGCACATGATTTTGACCTAAAATATTAATTAAATTTATGTTCACAAAAAATACACGTTATATATTAAGATTTTATACGTTTATGAATCTGTATAAAATACAATGCGAAATAACATTATTCTTTGCTATATATAATATAAATAAAAATATTTTTTAAATATTTTTAAATTTTTATATTAAGTTGTAATGAAATGTAATTATTAATAATTTTATTGATAATTAAAAATAATTGTACGATTTAATAAAAAATTAAATTTTTCAATTGTTCGTGGTTTAAAATTTTTTATGAATTATCAGATATATATTCTCAAATAATACATATTATATTGGGTATGGAAATAAGTTTCCACCCATTGCAGAAAGATGTTAGTAGCATTGCTCGTGTGTTTGATAGAACGGCATGATTTTGAAAGGTGTGTGTCCAAACTTTTGAGCCCAATAGATGGCATTCGTTCGAAGCGTAACAAAGAATAACTTTTTTTGCGTTGAAGATGTCGGAATTTATTCCAAAAAAGCAACATTTGCGAGAAGTTTTACTCCATTATTTTATTTTAAAGAAAAGT